TCACCCCCTCCTCCAGGAGACCCTGCTCTGCCCCAGCCCCCGGTTCCGTTTCCAGAGCGCACAGTCCGGTCCTCCAGGCACCTAGACCCGCCCCTGGAGGCCCAGACCAGCCCCCAAACACCAAGTCCGAACCGAATCTCCGCTGCAGCACGAATGCAGCCCTGTATTCAACTTAAGACCGGACCGGAGACCCCACTCACAGCCCACCCCCACCCCACTCACACCACCCCCACCCCGCAGCCCCTCTGCTAGGCGGGGCACTCACGAGGGCATCTCCAGCGCGCGACGCGCCTCCTCTTTGGCCAAGGCCTCGGCCATCATGTACAGGTGTCCGGGCAGCAGAGTGAGGTTGGACGGGACACGGAGCTGAGGGGCGATCAGGGCAGCTGTGGGATGGGTAGCTGTGCCCATGTCACAGAAGGCAGAGTGTGGACAGAGCCAAGATGGGAACCTGGGTCTGGGGGCTCCAGAGCTGCCCTACCCCTTCAAGGGCAAAGAGGTTTTGAGAGGAGGCAGGGAGAGAGACTTCAGTGATGGGGAGGAGGACAGAGCAGGTGCTAGAATGTAGTCTCACGCTACAGGCTGCAGGGGTCAGGTAGGAAACATGAGTAAAATAGCAATTAGGAATGTTGACTAAAATCCTGGTTTTTAAGTGATGGTAGCTGACTTTTAAAATAGCACTTCGTTGGCTAAACAAAACATGGTATGGACTACATTGGGTTTGTAGAATGCCAGCTTGAGACCTGTTTGAGACTCTAGGGCAGTGGTCGGCAAACTGCGGCTCGCGAGCCACATGCGGCTCTTTGGCCCCTTGAGTGTGCCCACGGAGTTTCAGTCGCACTGTACGTGCGTGCCCGCACATGGTATTTTGTGGAAGAGCCACGCTCAAGGGGCCGCAGTTTGCCGACCACTGCTCTGGGGGCTTATTTGGGGAGTGAAGAGTGGAAAGGAAAAAGAGGGTTTCTGAGGAGGACTACTGGGGAATAGGAGAGAGAGGGGCAGGGGGGACCACTCTGACCTCCACCACTGTCAGGATGAAGCCTTTCCACATCTCCCGAGACTCCAGGCTCTCCACCTGGAGGGAAGGAAAGGAAACGTCCATGTTGATTAGGCTCAGTCTATTCATCTGTGAAATGGGAGTGAGGAACTGAACAATTCATGTTTCCAAGGGCTGTTTTGAAGATCAAATGAGTTAAGGCAGGTTAATTTAGGGTGATGTCTGAATATAAGTCCTTTAATGTGGATTGTTATTCTTTTTTTTTTAATTTTTTAAAACATATTTTTATTGATTTCAGAGAGGAAGGGAGAGGGAGAGAGAGATAGAAACATCAATGATGAGAGAGAATCATTGATTGGCTGCTTCTTGCACGTCCCCCACTGGGGATCAAGCCCGCAACCTGGGCATATGCCCTGACTGGGAATCGAACCGGTGACCTCTTGATTCCTAGGTCGATGCTCTACCACTGAGCTACACCCGGCTGGGCAGATTGTTATTCTTGAATGTTATTATACCAACATTTAAAAAAGTAATTCAGATCATGTACCTCCTTATCCTTTAAACCCTCCCAGGCCTCCCACCCCCCTCAGGGTAGCAGGTAGAGCAGTCTCTCGTGCCCACAAGCCCTGCATGACTGCCCAGCCCCCTCCCAGCTTTACTCTCCCTACCTCCCTCCCCTCATTCACTCTGTTTCAGCCATTGTTCCTCTAACTCACCAGGCATAGTCCTGTCTGAGGACCTTTGCCTTCACTTTAGAACTTGTCTCTCTAGCATCCACTGCCATCTGCCAGTCCATATATTTTACACATTGATATAGTTGATTGTGTGTCTGTAGACTCCACAGGGGCAGGGGTTTTGAATTGTCTGTTCACTGCTGTGCAACTACAGGAGGGTCTGGTACATATTAGGTGCTCATTAATGTTTGTTGGCAGACTGAATGATGGCAGTGGTGACCTTTGTGAATTGTATCTTGTTCTGGGTACTTTATATATATTATCCCATTTTGCAGTTGAGGAAACTGAGGCCCAGAGAGATGAAGTGACTTGCCCAGTATCACCACTCCAGTGTTAGACTCTGTGTGACTCCTTGCTGGTGTGTGTTAACGGTGGGTGTGATGGGGAAGCAGGTTCTCCCGCCAGCCCCACCCCCACCCCCCAAGAGACCTACCCTGAATTTGATCTCCTGGTTCCGGACGAAGAGGTTGAAATGTATACCAGGGTCATGGGAGCTCCCGCAGGGAGCTTCATCTGTGACTTTCACAGAGGCACCGAGGTCTATCTTCTCCACGTGCTGGGGGCACAGAAGCAGGCGTCTGAGCACCAGACCTGCGGTCCCTCAGGCCCCCTGGTTTGGCCACGCCACCCATGCCCTCTGCTTGGTCCCGGGGGTCAAGGATGGGCCAGCTCTTGAGCCCTCATTCGCATCCTTACCTGGGAGTCCCTGTTGCTCTTGTAGAAATAGAGAGTGAGGCCCTGGAGGCCGGCCCAGAACTTCTTGTAATCCTGGGGAACAGAGGGGGAGAGAGAGAAGGATGTGAGTTGGCCAGCTGGGTACCTCCCACCCACCCGTTTCTGCCTCAGGACCTTTGCAGGGGCTGCTCTCTGCCTGGACACTCTGCCCCCCAGACGTTCACATAGTTTCCTTTGTTACCTGCTTTGGGTCTTTGAACAAAGGTTGCCTTCTCAGGGAGGCCCTCCTCTCTCATGGCCCAGCCTCTGGGGATCTGTTATTCTCTGATAAATGACCAAAGGGAACCTTGATAGGATGGGGGACCCAGAACAGTCCCTCAGCCTATGGAGGGGGCTGTTCTAGGAGTCAGTTGTGCTAACTCGATTTATGATGATCCATCCACCCACCCACCCATACACACACATACATCTCCCTGGCCCCTTATCCACCCCACAAATACTTATTGGCATCTCCTAGGTGCCAGGTCCTCAGATATTCCATAGTCTCAGAATTTCACAAGGTTCTGGACCCTAGGAGGTCTGCAGATTCAGGGTCCCCCAATCCCCCCTCAGGATTCTGAACTACAAATGCCCTAACTCCCTGGATGTCTGAGGGGCTGATACAGCTCAGATTGTAAGATTCTAGGGTCTTTTCACCAAACATTCCATGAGCAACGACTCCGCAGCAACCAGCTCTATTGCAGGCAAAATATTAAGTGGGACATGACTTCTGTTTCTAAATATATCATGTTCCAGAGGATAGAGAAAGCACAGACACTGAGATCCTCCAGGAAGAAAAACTCGGGCCCTGGAGAGGCACAGACCCTGGGCCAGGAGATCACAGAGGAGGAGAGGAGCCCTCCAACTGGAAAATCTGA